GGTCCCATCCCAGAGGCAGCTGCATCTCTGTTATACTCAGCCGCCGACACCCCCTGCCCCAGAGCTGGCCGTGCCCTAGCATGGGGCCTTGTGTCCCCAGCCCTGATGCCAGCATTGCCCCCCTCCCAGGTGCGGCCCAGCTGATGTGGTTCGAGAAGCTGTACGTCTGGCTGCAGTGTGCGGAGAAGTATGCGCTGTACCCGGCTGTGGTCCTCTACGCTCTCACCCTGGACGCCCAGGCTGCCAGCGCCCCCCAGCCCGGCACCCCCTGCCTCTAGTAGGTACCCCCACACCTGCCCACCCCGCAGCTCCTTGCCCCCCACCCCTGCCTGGGGGGGGGTGCTCAGGGCCCAGTCCTGGGACCGGAGCCTCAAACGGGCCTATCTCAGTTGTCCCTGTCTTTTCCTTCGTTCTTGGGGGGCAGCTTAATACTAACACAGCAGGGAAGGGGCTCCCCACTGTATGTGCCTCCACCTGGGCAAACTGGAGTCCAGGGGTGTTGGGGCGGGGGGGGCAGGGACAAGATGAGGTGGGGGTCAGTCAGGGGGGTGGGGGGATCAGTTTTGGGGGTCCTGGCCCCCATCTCACCCCCCCCTGCGCCCACAGCTGCCGTGCCCTGCTGCTGACCGTGGCAGGGATGAAGCTTCTGCGCGGGGCGTTCTGCTGCCCCCCCCAACAGTGCGGGACCCTCTGCCTCACCGTCCTCTTCTTCCGCTTCGACTGTCCCCGCTGCTCTGAGGGCTTCGTGCTCGACTACTTTCTCATGTCCATCGTCTGCAGCAAGGTGGGGCGGGGGTCTCCACCCCACACATGCACCCTCCAGGCCTCACTCCCTCCTACAGCAGGGAGAGAAGCCAGGCATCCGGGTTATCAGTACCCCCCCCGGCTCTCACCCCCCAGCGCTCGCTTTATTCCTAGAGCTGGGAGGAACCCACGTGTCTGGGCACCATGCTGACCCCCCACCCCCTTCCCTCCCAACAGCTGTGGGACTTGCTGTACAAGCTGCGCTTCGTGCTCACCTACATCGCGCCCTGGCAGATCACCTGGGGCTCTGCCTTCCACGCCTTCGCCCAGCCCTTTGCCGTGCCCCGTATCCTGCCTGTCACCAGGGTCTGGGGGGAGCTTGGAGGGCCTGACTGGGGGGCGGGTCTGGAAGTCCATGTCCCCAAGCAGTCGGTTTGCATGAGGCAGGTTGGGGGCTGCAGTTTGAGGGCAGCCTTGTTGGGGGTTTCCATGCCCCTGAGGGATGTGAGGGTGTCTTGGGGCGGTCCCATGCACCTGTGGATGTGTGGGGTCCCACTGGGGTTTGGGGGTGTCAGGCTGGGGAAGCATTGTGGAGGTACTGCAGGGGAGGGGGGGGTTCAGCTGTGGTTTGGGGTTGGGGGGTCTGAGGAGAGTCTCTACCTCTGGGGGTGTTGAGGGTCCAGCTGGGGAGGGCCCTAGG